ACACACACACACACACACACACACACACACACACACACACACACACAGAGAGAGAGAGAGAGAGAGAGAGAGAGAGAGAGAGAGAGAGAGAGAGAGAGAGAGAGAGAGAGAGAGAGAGAGAGAGAGAAACTTTTTTTTGTGTGCTCTTTCTATTTGATAGCTAATCTCTTGCCTCCCTGTGTTGATCCTCCCATTGGCATTTCTCCAATATGACGTTTCATGCATGAATGGAGCTTTTCAGGGAACCACTGGTGGTCACAGCTTGTCAATCAGTCCACTTGGCGGCTGGGAAACCACTTGGAACCTCTTGGGTACCGGTGGGTACCGGTGGGTACCGTTGGGTACCGGTTAGAGCTGCAGGTTTTCCGTCATCGGCCGGTACCCAAGAGTTTCCCAGCGGTTTCCCAACTGGACTAGGTACCAGCAGCAGCGCTTTAATCCACCAGTCGTTACGACCCCTGTGTGGTGACCCGGCAGGTTTTCCGTCATTGACGGGTTGAACATGGGGCACGCAGGCCGGTACCGCCGAGACGAAACCTGTGGGTGAACCGGCCATGTTTTGGAACTTGGAACCAACTGGTACCGATCAACGCATGCGGTAGGAGTCCAATCACTCCATACTTGCCTGCCTGGTTAGCGCAGGAGGTAGTCTACCTTCCGCTCAACCCGGGCTGGCAAGTGGTGAGTGCCAAGTGATTCGAGTCCTGCCTACAACCTTGAAAGCAGTAGAGGGGACGCTAGTACTTCCCGCTCGAGCCGGGCAAGCAAGCGTTGGACAAGTGACTTGAATCCATACGACTGTGAAAGGAATACAGGGAACACCGACGCTTGCCTGCCGTCCCTTGTATACCAGAGTTCGCAATTGGGATTTTTAGGAATACCTGTACCTGACCTAACCACACCGTCTCTAAAAGCTAACCACCCATACCCACTGTATACCTGGCCTGCCGGACCTTTACCCATCTCCACCTGCGGAAAAAAAAAAAAAGCCGTATACCCAGACCTACCCTACCTGAACTTCGCCAGCATGTAACTGGCCATACCTACCCATGAACATTTTTTTTCAAAACCACCCATGGGCACCTGAACCCAAATCGTTTGTTAACCACCCATACCTTACCCTACCCAAGTTTTCTTTAGCTGTACCCACCTGTACCTACCCATAATTGTATGCACCCACTTGTAACCACCCATGCTTGTCACCGACCCTCCCCTAACCGCCCATAACCACCTCCAACTGTCCCTAACCGCCCCTAACTGTCCCTAACTGTCCTAACACACCCCTAAGGTTTTTTTTTTTTTTTTTTTTAACTGGCCCTAACTGTCCCTAACCGCCCCTAGTTGTCCTTAACCGCCCCCAACTGTTCCCAACCCCCTGGACGTCACATGATTCACGTGGTAATTTTATTATTATGAATATTATTATTTTATTTTACTGTTTTCGAGATGTGGCAGCTGCTGCAGCTACTGCCGCAACAACAACAGTTGTTACATCTGGTCACTCTGATGCTGCTATGGATGCATCTGGTCACTCTGATGCTGCTATGGATGCATCTGGTGCTACAGCAGCCTATGCTACCAGTATAGCATTTGCAAACACAACAACCCTCGGTCTGTCGCACACACTTTTTTTCTTTTTTCTTTTTTCTTTTTTTCATACTCACGAGACTCCCATCCTACCACCTCCCTCAATATATCTCCTGGCGCACCCCCACTCCTTTTCTATCTTACCTCATGCGAGGAACATCACTCTCTACTGGAGCAACCTGACCAGACAGCGGACGCGGGCACTGATGCTGAATGGGCTCCCCCATTCAGCCCCAGTTGAGGCACTAGCGTACAAGCCTCGTTACACGCACGTACACTCTCTCACACACACATGCACACGCAACACACACACAGACGCATAAATATTGCATACACAGGGTTACGCACATATGAAAATAGTCTGAAAATTAAAAAAACAAAGAATAAAAAAATGAAGAGATAAAATTCACCCTTGCGAGAAAAACTGTTTGCTTCATCGGAAAGCAAGAAATTTAGAATATGAGAAAAGCGTCATGCGTGAGCAAAAATACAAAGTCTGTAAAGCTACAAGACTCACATCGGGTATACCACGGTTATCCGATGGGAACCTCTACCCGCCCGTACCCACCCGGTTTTTTTTTTTCGGTCACCCGTACCTGCCCATGCCCGTCTATTTTCTTTTTCTGGCCGCCCATACCCAATTTTTTTTTTTTACCCGTACCCCTACCTGCCCCTACCCACCCATGATCTCCAAAAAGGGCAACTGTGCCCGCCCTAACAACAACCACCTTTTGTTTGTGCCTGCCCATACCCAACTCCCCCTTCTGAAGGGGTACCCATACCCGCCCGTAACCTGGTGGTTACAGTTGGGTACGGCTGGGTACGGGCAACGGTTACCCATTTGCGCTCTCTGTTGTATACCTTTCAATGTGATATGCGAGAGCTGAATCGCTCGACCGACACTTTCCTGCCTGTTTTTTTTTGAGCGGGAAGTGAGTAGTTTAGTGTCCGCTGTATTCCTTTCCTTCCATATTGTAGTCTGGACACTCAAGTGCCTGCCTGGGTTGAGTGCGACACATTCCTTTCGCGGTTGTTTTGCTGCAGGGAGGATTACTGTGGGCAGAAAAAAAAAAGAAAAAAAAAAAGAAAAAAAAAAAAAAAAAAAAAAAGAAAAAAAAAAGAAAAAAAAAAAGAGTACCCAAAAAATGACCTTCTCCTCGTCAAACGATCCTGCTACCAACGTGCTGGCATGCTCAGAGTCTGGAGAAGTTTCACGTTATACCTCTGCTGTTGGCCGCCAGGTTCCGGAAGCCGCTTGGAGCTAAGTATTCCGTTGGAGCTCATCCTACCTCCCTTTTCCTTCAGGTTGCCTCTGAAGCTCTCCTATTTATTTCTCCTTCTGCGCAGCGACTGGTATCTTGATCCCCTGCGATGCCCCTGACGATGATTGGTTTCATCGGCATCAGTCGAAATTGCGCTCACCATCCATTGCGGTGAGCGCAACCATTGAGAAGTGTGGCAATGCACCAAGAAATCAGGTTACTCTCGACAAGTGTAAGGGCATACTCGCACCAGGACTTTTCCTAATGTATCTGACTGCAACTATGGTGAGACCCCGATGAATCTGACGACGGTGAGACCCCGATGAATCTGACGACGGTGAGACCCCGATGAATCTGACAGCAATCGTGTCCACAGCTACCAAAAAGTCCTATAGTGTGAGTATGGCCGAGGTCCCAAGAACTCAAAAAGGCTGGTTGGGCAAGGCCCATATGCTCAGTGGGATATGGCATGTGGCAGCCCTCCTATACAGTCAGCAAGTGTGTCAGACGGAATCATTACCGTTCCTCCTTGCATCATCTTTCCACCACACACCCCATCCTGCTGAGCATCAAATTCAGGCCTTGAACATCACCATGACTGGATAGGACCACCACGTTTTTACTGTCATTTCCGAGTCTGCACTGAAATTCTTTCAAATCCTGCAAAGTGGTACTTCCCCTCCGATCTGTCACGCAGTATTGAAATCCATCCAATCCTCTGCCTAGTGGCACCTCCCAGAAGCAGAACATACAGCCATTATTGCTTTATCTAGACTGAAGGGCAGGGGACAGAACAGTAGAGCAGGGATAGATGGGCTAGGATGTTTCATCCCTTCTTCCTCACGGACCTCTGGGGTTGAGGGGCCCTCTGTACAAGGTCTTTGGAACACAAACAAAGTTAAACTGGCTGGGTGATGCTCCCAGGCGGCTGAGCCTCTTTCTTCTGATGTATTTTAAGGGATGCTAGACCTGGTTTCCAGCAGGGCGAAGCTCCCCACCAATGGACAGGAGTCATCCATCAGAGTGCCTTGATCCAGATGGTTCTCTTACCACCACTGGACCGTAGGCGACAGGATTTTTGGAATTTAAAAAACAAAAGGGGTAACTAGGGCGCAGTCACAAAAGCAGTCTCTAAATGCATTTCAAACTGCCGTTTCGCAGTCCAGTCCGAAGTTTACAATGCAGTCGAAACGAAGTTTACAGTACAGTAGAAACTCCGCACTGCAGAAACGTTGCACCACGGAGTTTGTAACTGCAGTTCAGGCAGGCACGTAGCCGCTTTTTTTTTTTTCCCCCTAATCTCGGGCGGGGCCAAGGCATCTCGGTCGTGGCCC